CCCCCCCCCCCCCCGAGTCATTTAAGATCCCGTGTCATCTTCGTCTCTGCTAATTACATGTCATCTTTACTTTCAGCGATCTATGCTGGGTTTCCCTGGTATTCCAGGATCAAATGGTTTGCCGGGAGTGCCGGGCGTTCCGGGGCCACACGGACCCCAGGGAAGGGAAGGTGTAAAAGGACAAATTGGTGATAAAGGATCACAAGGAATGCCGGGTCCAAGAGGAGACAGAGGGCGCGAAGGGCCCCCTGGGAAGAGTGGACCCCGAGGAACAAAGGGAATGAAAGGTCAACAGGGACTTCTGGGAATGAAAGGACAGCGAGGCATTGTGGGAAATTCAGGAAGAAAAGCAGACAAAGGAGAGAAAGGAAAAAGCGCCAAAGCAAGTCAAGCCAGTGTAGTACCACAAACCAACTGGAAACAATGTGTCTGGGAATCAGAGAGCGGTACTGATAACGGAAAGATTAAGGTAATTAGAAAAAGAATCATAACAAACTCCAAAGGAAAGTAATTCCTCTCTAAATCAAAATATTTCAAAGAGGAACGTCTCCCTTCTCACTCACCGTTTGCTAACACATTACATAAATAACTTAGTTACATTTCTCTCTACTTTGGAAAAGGAAAACCATCGTGCGTGATGAAATGATTCCTGGTCATGTGGATAAGGACAACAAAAAATGAAGCTCTTACGGAGTTTTTTTCGAAATAAGGAAGTAATCTTGACTGGAGTTGTTCGTATCAATCATCACACGCGGTTGCTTGCCTTACTACAATATGTTTGATTTGTTTGATTTTATTCCAGGACTGTGCGTTTAACAAACTGCAGTCTAATTCAGCGCTCAGAGTCCAGGAGCCGATTACTTGGAGCCCTCATCTCCCATATAAGCCCTTGGAGTCAACCCTTTTCGGTGAAAAATTATTTATAGAAATAGCTTTCGCGGGATATTTTCACGCCTTTTTGGTAATATCCTATCAGAACAGAGGTATGATCATACGTCACACGTCGAGTCACAGACGCGCGATTTGAATTGCTGCCAACAATAGCGGTAGCCAGCGTGGAAGATTTATCTGATGATAGTTCTGATCAGGAGGGGGGGGGGGGAA